TGCCAGGTGGGCGGGAGGGACGTGGCTGCATGCTTAGGAATGTGTCCGGTCGCCTTACTTGTTAGCTGGCTAGGTGAAACAAGGTGGGGCGCGGCAACTGTGCTGCCAGCCCTTGACTGTCGTAAGCTCCCCTGCCTTTTGCGCGCTCTTACATTCAGCTTGGCTTTGGATTCCTAGTCGCAGCCTTGTGACATGTGAGCATTGTGCGTTATCGCACGCACATCCAGGAATCTGGGTGTCTCGTTTCCTATCCAGCTTGGTTTTATTGCAACGTAACCCCAAGCGAGCAGACGACGCGTTAGATGGCGTGTTGCATATCCGTATTGACTGCTGTCTTCTCCCCCGCTCTCGCTGCTCACGTGCCGCGCAGGTGATCCTGATGGGCCTGGTGGAGGGCTACCGTGTGAACGGCGGCCCGGCCGGCGAGGGCCTGGACCCGCTGTACCCCGGCGAGTCGTTCGACCCCCTGGGCCTGGCTGACGACCCGGACACCTTCGCCGAGCTCAAGGTCAAGGAGATCAAGAACGGCCGCCTGGCCATGTTCTCCATGTTCGGCTTCTTCGTGCAGGCCATTGTGACCGGCAAGGGGCCCATTGAGAACCTGAACGACCATCTGGCCAACCCGGCCGTCAACAACGCCTTCGCCTTCGCCACCAAGTTCACGCCCAGCGCGTAATGTATCGCTGCTATGTTTGCTAGTCGAAGCGGTTGTCCGCATCTGCCGGCCGCTGCTGCCTTCAGCTACGTTACGTTGTTTAGCTATGTGAACGTAGACACAGCATAACCAATAAACTGCCAATACCGGTATACGAGACGTCACATGCATAGCAATTGCAGGCAGTAGTTGCCTATCCGTCGCTGTTGGGTAAATACGCTTGGATGCGCAGCTTGCCAAAACTGTTGAGTGATGCGTGGGTGCTTGTCAGTTATGTCCATCGAACCTCGTTGTCGCACTGTGGCCACCTCTGTTTTTGATGTCGTGTTCCTGCGATGAGTTCCCGCGTGGTGAGTGGTGAGCAGCGGCGGAAGCGGTCCTGTTACGGGCCTGAAGTTTTGATGTGGGTGTTTCCCAGTAGGGGTTTCCCACAGCACGGGTGTTGAGGTGGAGCTCTTACTTTTGGGTGGGGTATTGGGCGGCGAGACGTGAGATATCAAGAGCTTCATACAAAGCGCATGCACATGCTGGATGCGTTGCGCCAAGCAAGCTCCTGTAACATTTGGGGTGTTCATGACATAAGGAAGGTCTCGGTTCCAGTGCTTGTTTCACCGCTTCTTGGGTCTGGAGCACATACAGCCATTTTGGTGGGTACGTACTGCAAAGGCGGCCACGCAAACAGGCACACATGGAGAACACGCGCGAGACACGAGCTAAAGGAACATCAAGCGTACAGCGGCCTCGGCCTCCGCGAACCAGGCTCGCTACCTTCCTCACAGCCAGGAACTACGTTGCCACTGGAAGGTACCCCGATGCACCAAGAAGGCTTATTGTGGCTTATGCACCGATGCACCATGAAGGCTTATTGTGGCGCTCGCCTCGGGCTTATGTGTTCCGTTTCGGATAGCACAGCATCAGCACCACGAAAAACCTGTCGATATGCATAACACAAAATCACAAACACACACATCCTCACAAACACAAACACATACAAACACACACAAGCTCACACAAACTCACAAACACAAGCCACACACTCACTCTTTTTCTTTTTCTTGTCATGCAGAACACACACACACACACACACACAGGCACACACACACAGGCACACACACAGGCACACACACACGCCACACTTAAGTCGAAGGAAAAAGGCACGAAGTCGGACTGGAGCCTTGTAATGAGTGATGCCGTTACCTGGATTACAGTCCGGTGTAGAACCATGGGACGTGCAATGATATGGAGTCTTAAAAGCTCGGCAACCAGATGGACGCCGCTGCATGCTGGCTACTGCTTTCAGTATCACCCTGGCTGGCAGGCCCCTTTCGATCAGTTTCGCATCCGCAAGGCCAGAGCATGCAGCATCGCCAATGGTTTGACCACCTGCTCCCGTAACTTAAGAACCGAATACCGTATGCCAGTGCCATGGTTCCAGTACTCCCCCAGAGAGGCAGGACGACACACACAAATAGGCTACCCGCT